GTGTGTGTCCATGTGTGTGTCTGTGTGTGTCCATGTGTGTGTGTCTGTGTGTGCGTCTGTGTGTGTCCATGTGTGTGTCTGTGTATGTGTCCGTGTGTGTCCATGTGTGTGTCTGTGTGTCTTTGTGTGTGTCTGTGTGTATGCGTGTGTCTGTGTGTCTGTGAGTGTGTGTGTTTCTGTGTGTTTATGTATTTCTGTGTGTGTTTCTGTCTGTGTGCCTGTGTGTCTGTGTGTCTCAGTGTGTATGTATGGGTCTGTGTGTGTTAGTGTTTGTCTGTGTGTCTGTGCATGTGTCTCAGTGTCTCAGTGTTTGTGTGTATGTGTGAGTGTCTGTATGTGTGTGTATGTGTAGGTGTGTGTGTGTCTGTATGTGTGCTGTGTATATGAGGGTGTGTATGTGTATGTGAGTGTGTGTGTGTGTGTGTGTCTGTGTGTAGGAGTGTGTGTATGAGGGTGTGTGTGTGTGACTGTATGTGAATGTGTTTGTGTGTGTCTGTGTGTATGTGTCTGTGTGTATCTGAGTGTGTGTATGTGTATCTATGTGTGTATGAGTGTGTATCTATGTGTGTATGTGTGTCTGTGTGTGTGCCTCTGTGTGTATGAGTGTGTGTGTCTCTGTGTGTATGAGTGTGTCTCTGTGTATGTATGTGTCTGTGTGTATGCGTGTGTCTGTGTGTGTGTCTGTGAGTGTTTCTGTGTGTGTATGTGTGTGTGTCTGTGTGTGTCTCAGTGTGTGTGTGTGATGTCTGTGTCTGTGTGTGTTTGTGCATTTGTGTGTGTGTGTGGGTCTGTGTGTGTAAGTCTATGTATATATGTGTGTGTGTCTGTGTGTGTGTCTGTGTGTCTCAAAGATGAAAGGATTTGCCAACATAAGCTCCACTTTGATGGAATACTGAAGGTTTCCATTAGCTCTGTTCTTTTTTTTTCTTTTTTTCTTTATTGAAAATCCCAACTAGTTTATGGGGTTTGTTAACAGAGCATAGAGTCAGGATTTATTTACAGAAGATTGGGTGCCCCCCATTTATGGTGGCACTGGAGAGTCCAGACTCAAATATAGATCTTGTGACTTTCTGACAGTCCCACAAAATGGTGAGAGGTGCCTAGTGTTTTGGGCTTATATATCCTTATCCCCTCCATCACATGCAGCTGTGGTTGACTGATTGGGTGGGAGGGATAACTGACTCCTCAAATCCTTGATGAGCATGGTGAGGAGGTGTGATTATAGCTTGCCAGCATAGTGGTCGGCGAACACTTCCAATTAACACTCCACCGCTTCCTCCGGCTCTTACGTTCTTTCTGTCAACCTCTTCCGCAAAAGTCCCTGAGCCTTGGAGAGGGGGGTAGGTGTGGGATGATCTTCCTCTCATTGTGGCAAAGCACTGAACTTTTGGGTCTCTTCATCGTCAGTTTTCCATGGGCTACTGGCCCATTTCAGTGGGATTCCATCTAGTATAAAAACATAAACAGCAACAAGCAAGAACATCTAAACAGTGGCTGCTATAATAACGTAACCTATGGGTATAAACACATATTCTTGGATGGTTCTTTAGCAAATGCATCACATCCATCTAACAAAACAAATGCAGTTGCTTCCCACTGAGGCCTATATTTTCCCCTGGTCTACAGGACCATATGTGTTCCGCCCCTGAGAGCAGGCAATATATCCATCCATTTACCTGAAAATTTCATTATTTCATTTTTCTTTACTGCTAACTGAACTCCATTGTGTAAATGTACCAAATTTTCATTAACCATTATATAAAGACACTGAGGTTGCTTCCATCTCTTACTACTGTGAAAACAACAGCAACAAACATGATTGTACAAGTGTCTCTGTAGTAGGATGAGTCCTTTGGTGTATGTCAAGGAGTGCTACAATGGGGTCATATGGTAGGTTCATTTTTAGTTTTTTTTTTTTTGTCCTTTTGATACAGGGTCTCCGTGTAGCCCTAGTTGTCCTGGAACTCACTATGTAGACCAGGATGGCTTTGAACTCAGAGATCCACCTGCCTCTGCCTCCCAAGTGGGACAATAGGCCTGTCACACCACTCCCGGCTTTACACTCTTTTCCGTAGTGGTGCATGAGTTTGCAAACCCACCAGCAGTGAATGAGCGTTCCCCTTTGTCCACATCCTCACCAGCATTATGGAGGTTCTTACATCTAGTGTCTTCCTCAACCCCTCTTTCTGCAAAAAGGGATAATTTGAATTTTTCTTTTCCAATTAGTACTCCTTTAATTTCCTCCTCTTGTCTTACTGCTCTAGCAAGAGTTTCAAGCCCTATATTGAAAAGGTGTGGAGATAGTGGACATCCGTGTCTGGTTCCTGATTTCAATGGGAATGCTTCCAGTTTTTCTCCATTTAGAATGATGTTTACTGTGGGTTTGTTGTATATAGCTTTAATTATATTGAGGTATGTTCCCTCCAGTCCAATTCCCTTTAGAACTTTTATCATGAATGCATGCTGAATTTTGTCAAAACCCTTTTCTGCATCAATTGAGATGATGATTTGTCTTTGAGTCCCTTTGTATGATTGATGATGTTTATTGACTTCAATATAGTGAACCATCCCTGCATCTCTGGAATAAAGCCTAGCTGTTCATGGTGAACGATCTTGTTGATGTACATCTGTATGGGGTTTGCAAGTATTTTGTTGAGAATTATTTTTAATGTAGGCACTTAGAGCTATAAACTTCCCTCTTAGGACTGCTTTTGAAGTGCCTGGAGGTTTTGTTGTGCTGTATTGTCCTTTTCATAGAATTTCAGGTATTCTTTCATTTCTTTCTTAATTTCTCCTTTGACCCACTCATTGTTTAGGACTGTGTTGTTTCATCACCATGAATTTGTGCTGTGAGTTTGAGAGTGTTGATTTTTAGGTTTATTGCACTGTGGTCTGATAGAATGCATGGAATTTCAATTTTTTATGTTTTGAGTTTGTTTTGTGCCCCAGCGTGTGATCAATTTTGCAAAAAGTTCCATGGGGTGCTGAGTAGAAAGTATATTCTTTGGTGCTTTGGTGGAATATTTGAAAGATGTCTCTTAGGTCTATTTGACATATGGTATTGTTTAATTTGGATGTCTCTCTTTATTCTTTTAC